CTAAACAACGCTAATATCACAATTCATCAGGTAAAAATCACAAATATACACAAAATAGCGTGGTTTGTTTTGTTAACACCTATCCACTGGATTGCGATTTATCCGGTGAATAGCATTATCCAGCCTTCGAACAACTGGGGCCATAAGTCATTTGTCAATCAAGCGAAAATGCAGCAATAACTAAGAATTAGGCAGTCAATATATGTAATTCCTAGCCACTCAGTTGTGGTCTATTGGAAATCCACTAATCTGATTGGTTCTATCGTCGTTTTCTATTCGCCGATAGACAACGATCGCGTACGCTGCTCTTGAAATTGGAAAATTAGGCTTTAAAATGCACAAAATTGTAGTTATTTTTGCTGTAATCCTTTAGAGTGTCTACCAAAACAACTAGACTACTTGCCCTCATTTTCTACGAGCGATAGTCAACTCGAGTTCGCCTCGTTGACTATTCGCTCAAACTGAAAACTCGAGCTGGTAGTCTAATTGTTAATAAGATGACGTTATGTCCAATTTGGAAAAAAGTAGGATTCCACAGAGAGGATGATCGTCTCTTGGATTCCAACAATTCAGTCCTCCGACTGCCATATGGCTTTTTGTGTGTTCAACTGGGATTGATTGACTACACAGGGCTTTAATCAAAACGTCACTTACTCAGACATTTTTTTTTAATCAATCAATACTAGGCCACGGTCATGATGGATGGTACCCACCACCAGGTTTGGAAGAAAACGCACAGCGTCCTCGCAATGTCTCTAGCACCCACCCCACCCTCAAAAACGCTGTTGTAACGTGCGGACCGCCGCCTGCCGAGCCAGCAAAATGCGGTAAAAAGGACGGACCTTGTCTCTTCAACATCGAAGAAGATCCGTGCGAATACACCAATTTAGCCCAGGAGGAGACCGACGTGCTCAACCACATGTTAAAGCTGCTGGAGACCTACAAGTCAACTATGGTACCAATACGAAATAAACCATACGACAAAAACGCCAACCCCAAATATCACAATGGTTTATGGACGGCATGGTGTGACGAAAAACCGAATGAGAACTGTGGGGAGTAGTGTGTGCAGCCTAAACAAAAATATGCACGGTACCTCGTTCCCAGGTTTCTCTCTTCAGTAACTGGAAACGAGGTTGCGATATTTTGTATGATAACCTAAGTGAACAATGACCATAGATTATAAATTAAGACGGAATCCACCAGAAGTTCGAGTAAC